TATGTCAGAGAAGTTATTTGATCTTGTCCTTGTCAGCTCCATCTCATTACAATCTCAGCGAACAGCAATGTAGCAAACAAAACAATCAAATAATCACAACAAGACATGTACAGTGAACGATCAAAAGAACGATGGAAAGAACAAGGTATTGCTGTAAGCATTCATTCGATGCTGATGTATAGAGAAGTGACCACGGCAAGCTATCAGCAGATAGGCGTTGAATACCAAACAGTAAAATCCTGGGGTATGAAATTTTCTCATTCATCATGCGATTTTCCAGCGGGTACGAAGGGGAGGGGGGGGGGGGAACTATAGGAAATTGAATTCCAGTGAAAGGGGATTATAGCACTATTATTACAGAACTAAGGGGGGAACATGTAAATTTTGTGACTGACCCCACCACCCCTAAGCAATAAATGATACTCCGTCTTTTGGAATTGCAGAAATTTCAACACGAAGTTGAGACATATGTCAGGTCAGATGAAGGCAATGCGAACTTCGCTGAATGGTGTAAGCGGACTAGAACATATCAGTCCAAGAAGTTGACGAGGGTCCGAACTCTGACTTAATCAACAGGCCAAAGCTAGCCTCACTGTGTAGCTCGGATTCAACTCAGGAATCCACACTCGACTTTTTCCAGTCCCTCGCAAGTTAAATGTATTGTCGTGATTTTGTTTTAAGTCGTTACGAAATAAGAGAACGTGTTATTAAGATTGACATTTTTAAAGACGTGTCGCCTAGATGTGATTTTCATTAAGCACTACGACAAAAATAGGTTCATAGTAGACGAAAAAAGAAATCCATCGAGACAAAAGGTACAAACGAACTGATCTTCAGTTCACTTAAGATTCCAATCAAACACATATAACAAGCTGCAAAGGTTTCGTACTCCAAAAATATGAGTCCTTAAACAGTGTAACGAAACATCTCGCTGGTTATTGTGACCAATGCTTAGCCAGGTAAAGCTTGCGGCCGTAAATTTCATGATTCTATTACCCATTTACTTCATCCGAAGATATGCGACAACCCACGAAAGGAGCTCATTGATACCATCATCATCACTAATAGTCATCACCGGCCACATCTATTGCCGGCAATAGAACAATTTTGAATTTCACGAGTGTCGAAAGTAATCCAAGATTGCATCACTTTTGCTTCATTTCACTGCATTTTTTGCTTTGCTTCATTATGATTGGTCGAGAAAACTCAAGCAACTCTCCCAACCAATCAGATACAAAACTAAAACCAATCACCTTGGTCCCCCGAGGTTTTCTCGCGCTTTAGTTGTTTCTACTTTGAGTTCCCGTTGGCTCTTATATTCACGGTATTTTCCTTTCCTCTGATTGGCCGTTGGGATCATTTTGGTTTTACAACACCCAATCAGAAAGCGCCTTATACATCTGTGGCTTTGATACATGTTCGAAAGGATATGTGATTTTTGATGAAATTCCCTTTCGTGAGAATTTTTTGCGGGAGTCAAAACAAAAATTGCTTTCCAGAAAGAACAGACTATCAGACTAATCCACGTTCTGCTAAAAACAATGGAGTTTATTGTTCAAAAGTCGTCTGGTCACTTGGGTAAACATTCCTCTTTTGTTTTATAGATACCTTAAGTAAGTTTCTTTAATGCTAAGACAAAAGGAATCTTTAAGAGTGGTGACTACGGAATTTAATTTACAAATATTGTAAACCAAATAATCAACTCCCTGAGCAACAAACGGCCTGAATTGATTCCACCATTAATGAAATTTTAGTAGAACCCTTTCCTGTGAGATGTTGTTTTCAGTGAAAATCTTATTTCAGTAAATAACTCTGCCATCACCAAAAACAGTTTAACCCTTGCTATTCTTAGTTACGTAGCGACTTTAACACGTTACTAGGCAACTGATGACAAACGAATAATTGAATTATCAAGAGTCTAGAAGTAACCGTGAACTCATGCAAACCACAGTTGTTCTCTCGAAGCTCTGCAGTCGAACTACACAAACTTCCTGTTTAGAGACAATTTAACCGGAAAGAATACCAAAAAAAGAACGGTGAAAGATTTCAAATAAGACGAATTTTGTTTGATGAGTCAGAGAATCGAGAAAATTCCAGTGTCGTAGAGGCGCACGGTTCGTACTGTCTGGCAGCGTGCAGATGTTATTCACGCCATTTATTTCAATGATCACCTTTGGTTGTTGATTCGATTTTAAGCACAGTTTTTAAAGCAACTGGTCGCTGAAACAAAACTCCAAATGACAGAAGAACTTCAAGACGGACAACAATTGAGCGACGGCGACAAAGCAGCGGAAAAACCAGCTCAAGACAATCCTGATCAAGAGACCGAACAAAAAAACGTGCAGCTGGCTTCTTCAGGTAATAACTTGTTTATAAATCCTGCTCGAGTACTTTTCAATTTTGCATTCATTTTTGATAGAGTTATAAACACCATATCAAAAGACCAATGTTCGGCGTTTTAGTCTGGTTACGCAAGATCCACCGCGAGTATTCTAAACTTCCTTTTTCCTCGATCGATGGAAGAAGTTTACCAAATATTGATAACTCTATCGTAACTTTTGCTTTGCTTTAAAAGACTGCGATTGCGGCTTTGTCCGCATGTAAAGCTAAAACCCGAAATGGTAGATCAAAATCTTCATTAACACTCGAACATTTCGATTATATTGTTACTTCTAATATAAATGATTATGCGAGCGAACGATCTACCTAAGAAGGGCAGTTTTCATTGTAAATTATTAAATGAATCAGACATCATCGAAATAATCACAAATCCCGAAAAGCAAATCACGAACTTCAGCTTCGCTATCTGTAAGATCAAAATGTTGTTATGGGATTTATGTTATGGTAAAATTGGCAATAATATATTATCTTAATCCCTAATGAATTTTTTTGACGACCCCACAGTACTCTAACTGCTCAGAGAGTTTGACGTACACATTATTCACTAATTTAATTCTCTTAGTCAATAATGGCTTTTTTGTTCTTGCCTAACATTTAGTTGTAACTGGGAATCTTTACAGGGCCACCAGAAGAAGAGGAGTCTAAACCAGATGGCTCAGCACCACTGGAGCCTGTCTTTAATACAGGTGTTACAGATGCATCTGAGAGTGTTGAGCCTGTGAAAGATGCAGGTAAAGGACCTGCTGCAAATGAAGAACAAGGAAATCAGAATGAATCAGAGGAAAAAATGCCAGAAGAAAGTAATAGTAGTGAAGGAAATACAGCAGGACCTAACAAGGAAGAAAGAGGAGTTAGTAAAGATGGCGAGAAACAGTCAGAAGTACAGGAAGGTGCTAGTGTGCAACACGAAGAAACCATTGCTCAAAAACCCACTGATGAACAACAAGCTGAGGTGAAACCAGAGAGGGAAAGTGAGGGACCTACAAAGGAAGAAAACAAGGAGGAACAAGGTGCAGTTGGCCAAGGGGAGGACAAGCCAGCTCAAGAAAATGAGTCAAATGAAGAAAAAGCACAAGATCATACAGAGAATACAGAAATCACTATCCCAACTGTACCCGGTTCTGAATCTGAAAACGTTTCTCCTCAAGAAGCAAGTCAGAGTAAAGCTTTGGACAACGGTGAAAGCACAGAAGATTCTGCTAAAGAGACTGCTCCTGATGTAACCAATCCTGAAACTGAAAACGAGATTCCACAACAAGAAACTGGTCAGGAAGAAGCTACAGAGGGCACTGAAACTACTGAAGATTCTCCTCAAAAACCCAGTGACAAAGATGAAACTGATGGAGCAACTAAATCAGACATAACACCTGTTGAGAGAGAAGATGCCAAAGATAACCAGACAGTACAAGCAACTATTGAAAATGATCCAACAGATGTGAAGCAAGAGGAAGTTTCAGAAGAAGCTGACAAGCCTGTGAAAAACCAGGAACACATCCAGTCAGATGCTCCATCCACAGAACAACAGCCTGTTGTGACAACAACACAGATTGCTGCAGTACCAGCTGGTGAGGCGCCTCAAACTAAACCTGGTGAACTTCAAGAGGAGAACAAAAAGCTAAAACAAGATTTGTTTATGATGAAACAACAAGAGGATGCCTACAGAATCAAGGTCCTCAGCTTGGAGCAAGAAGTTGGAAAGTTAAGAGCAAGGAAGATTGATAACAAAAGCCAAGGTACATACGTGTGATCATGTCTCTTTCATGCAGGAATGTATACGTTGGACTTCTTGTATGCCTTTTTTCATCATGGATTCTTTATTACACAAGGCCCTTTAACTCCAGAGATCTAATTGTCAACTCTCCATTTTAGTTGCTGCAAATTTTCTTCTGAGTTTGTTGTGAGAATTTGGTGTTAGATCAAGATGAAAAACTTCTATCCCAATAAGTTTGAGTATTCTCATTACCTGTTTGCTGGATAATGTAGGGATAATATTGAGAGAAGTTAATAGTTAATCACTTCTAGGAATTAAAGGGTCAACTTAAATTAACCCCTTTGATTGCCAGACATACAGTGATTTACAATATTATTATTCATACATCTCAAGTAAATAGTGTGTGACTGAGATGGAATACTGAGTTCAAACAGTTTTATTACCCCATATACCTCTACTTGTGCTTATATTTGATGGCACATGTGGACAGAAATAATTTAATACTTCTATTTTAGGACTCGTGTCTGTCAATCCAAGGGATTTTCCTTTTCCACCCTCTTAGAAAAATTCTTTAATAAATAAATTTGCTCAGACTCACACTCCTCTGAATTGAATACAAAATTTACGAGAGACTGACGACTAAAACCCAGTCAGTAAAACAGTAGGAAGTAAATGAATAAATCTGATTTAATGTCTTTACTTTCCTGTCAGATTCACTTGCCTCAGACTCCGACAGTTACTTGAAGCAGAAGTTGGCAGAAACTGAGAGGGATCTGGATACTGCAGAGAGGAAAGTGAAGGACTTGCAGCTGAGACTGAAACGATTTGCTAAAGATGACCAAATAAAGGATGAAAAAATCTTCCATATGGAAAAGGAAGTCAAAGAGTTATCAGAACATGTTAAGAGATTAGAGCGGTCAATGGAGGATTCCAAAACAGAGAAAAATAATAATGCAACACTACAGGCAAACCCTGACAAAAATGATTCAAGAGTTTGTATAATTCTTTGATATTGAAAACTGCTTTTTTTTTACACCCATTTTTATTTCTTTTTTGAATGTTGTAGATTTAAATTTGCACAATTGAACTTTTGCTATGGATTGACAGTACTTGAATGAGTATGTATTTTATAATTACTAATTTATTGACATTTTATTTTTGTCAGAGTTATTTAAGGTTTGTTAATAGTACTCAACTTTAATTGGCACTCTCATTTTGCAAACCTGAAATTCTAAGGACTATTTTTTGTGCATACCAGTATTTTTGATACCTGTAGATACTCTTTTTTCAGACACCATACTTTGAAAGTTAATATAAATTTGCATACCTAACAATTCAGTTGATCTGACATCTGAAATGTTTTATGGGATTCCTATGCTAGACTTGACACTTGCTGAAATTCAAACACCTCAAGTCTTGTGGACTTGAAAAAGGAACAAAATATCATGATGAGAATCAAAAGCTTATGTATATAATTCAACTCTTCTTTCAGAAAAGGATTGCTTAAAAAATCCAAATTAACTTATTTCTTTATAAGGCCCTGGTGGCATTTCATTATGTTTACATACTAATTCATATGTTTATATTAGAGTTAGTCCAATGTGTTTAATACTTAATGTGCAATGTTGGGTATAAGAACTCCATTTTTCATAATTTCTGAGGACCACAATGAGTGGTACAAAGTACCCAAAGGAAGAATCATAGCATTAGTGACAAACACATCAAGTTTCATTTAATAAATCACTTGTTCACCCCTTGCCATGCTGTATTATGAGATTTGATTAAATCAATGGATAAACAGCCACAATAGTTTTGGTTTCAGACTCTAAAAACTTTCATGGTGACTCAAATAACCCATGAGTGACTAAGACAATCTTTCTCCCTACAATATCAATTTAATATCAATTTAATATCAATTTAATATCAATTTAATATCAAGTAGACAAGTGATCAGAACACAGAAGAAAGTATCAATTATTGGATTAGTAGTTGATCCAGTACCATTTTCTCTGATTCAGTAAGACACAAAGTGTCTTGCGAATGGTTAGGAGAATTGCTAATGACATCTTGGCATCTTATGATGCTTATGAATGATGCTGTTAAAGCACGAGAGAAACGAATCTTCAAGCAAAATCGAATTATTCAGAACTGCAGATTTAGCAAGGACATTATCCACAAAGAAAATCACAGAATCATGCAAGATGAAAGCGCTGTCCGATTTAATTTCGAATGAGAACAATTATACGTGGTTACTAACTGTGCTTGAACAAAGAACCTTTTCATAGACTGGGTGGAAAATGGGAAGGCAATAAAACGGAACAAACTGTCGAAGGTACATTTATTATGTTTCTCATAAAATTTACGCATGTGGAGATGGAAGAAGGGACAAGTTATCCATGTACTCAATGCTCTTCTCTATACGTTTCCTTTGGTACTGACAAGGAGAATGCATATATAGTTTCAACATTTAAAGCTTCCTAGGTTGGCAAGCATTTTCGTTATTCTCGCGATTTAATGTATGATTCAGCAGTATAATTGTAAGTGGTCACTCTTAGAGTTAACGGGATTAAAAACAGAGCTTTTGGTACTATTTGTTTATGAGGCGAACATGGTGTGTTGAAAGGAAAATATTTCTCTTGGTAAGATACACCCCTCCCATCTGGAATACGAACTGGGCGAGGAGGTGTAGATAGAAACTATGGAAAATATCCTGGGGTTAAACAAAGAGCAGCAACATTCATTTTTCCATATATTAACCCCTTTCCTCACCTTGGAAAAATAATGGAAGGTTAATACCCCCTTCACATGTAACTTCTTTTCCAGAAGATACAAGTTTGAGAGTTTTTCCATCAGTTGTTTTTTGCAGCGATTAACTGGAGCTACTCATGCCATAATTGCAACCTTGAGGTTCCACGGCTAGAGAGAATTAGTGAAAATCAGACTGGAAAGATTAGTCAAGCTGGACTGGACTGGAAACTTAAACAAGACAATTCCAATAGTTCTTGTTTTAAATTTTATGTCTCTTATTCAAACTCCAGCAGAAATTGCACTCATCACAATACAATGACACCATCTTTCTAGGAATTCTACAGTTGCATGTAAGGGGATGATTTTGCCAAAGTGAAATGCAGTCAGGTTTCTGTAGCTGTCCATGAGAGCTTCTTAAATTGTAAGTAACCATGAAATGTCTCCTGATGGGTAATGTGTGGTGCAGTGGACCTTGTCTGCCCAGTAACAAAGACCAGAATTTAGTCCTAAAAATAAGGGGTATCATTGTAATGAAGATGGGATTCAATTAATGATGACCTAGACAACAAAGTATCCAGATGTTACTGTGCATGCTTGCCTCCCTCTTTAGAGGGTTAACCCTTTACACTCTAGCATCAGTACCCATATTCTTCTTACTCCTCTCTATACATTTCCTTTGAGCAATTAGGGGAATTTGTGTGATGATCAAGAGCTTCTTAGGTTGGCCATCATTTCCTTGAGTTGACAAGGGCCAGAACTGGGGTTAAAGGTTAAGTAAAGGAAGTTCAATTTATATGGCCTAGTAAACAAATAGTTAATTATCCTGACATCATTGAGCGAGCTTGCCTCAGTGATGGTTAAGAGGATTGAAGCAAAGGGCAGCTGTGTGTTGTTGGATGTAGCAACGTGCAAAATTTGCAAGAGGGTATCACGCTTCATACAGTCCTCATACAACACACCGAGTGGGCATATTTCGGACAATATCGACGACAACCTTCCCAAACAAGTGAAAATGTGTGAAATGCAGACTTTCGTGTTCTCGATTTGACGTCACATTACCCACTAGAGCCATTCCTCTTTAAACTCGGTCGTGGGGCAAGATGGCGGCCAATTTTTCCGTATTTTGACTGAGCACAGAAAATTAAGATTTGAGCAAATGAAAAAAATTTTGCACAAATACTCCAAAAAATAGGCTTATCTCGTTGAGCGAAAAAAAAAATTTGGGGGTTTAGGTGCACTTTGAGCCAACACATTATGCATTATGGTAGTGGATGCAAGTTTTGAAAATTGGGGAATATCACGTGAGGTTTACCCTTGGATAATACCCATTTTGGCTGGGGCATATTCGATCACTTGATATGCCATAAAAAAAAAATTGATGGATGACAATTTTAATCATGATTGAAAAAAGGTGGTTCATGGGGTTGTACATATGGATATGAATATGCAACTTTATTGCTGCTGATTATTGTTCATAGTACTGTGTTGCAGCTAAACTCTTAAAAAATGTTAATTCATGGTTGTATATCAAATTTGTCTTTACAGCATTTGGACATGACTGTGATGATGATGAATTTGCCAGCTACAACCAGGGGGTTGCTGTAATGGAGCCAGTAAATATAGGAAAAAGAAATAGCTAACTGTAAAAAATCTGCAGCTCTACCTTGAGAAAACACTAAGAAAACCCCATGGCTGTTACTATCTGCAGCTCATACCAGTTGCAGAAGGCAAACCATTAACTACACAGATAAGAAACAAGAGTTGTGTACAACATCTTACAACACCTGGGCCAACTTTATTTTGACTTCACAACTTCTCCAGCACTACAAACATTTAGAAATACACTATGAAAAATAATTAAATTTCTTTATTGTTTATGAATAAATAGACACTTTTGCTTTTGGTTTTGAACATTCTTAAAACCCCTCATTTTGTAAGGAAGCAAAAAGGATTTTAAGATCAAGGATTAAAACTGCTCATTCATTAATAATGTGCTCCAAAAGACATACACAAGAGAAATAAAAATTTCACAACCTCTTGGAATTGTTGCTAGTCTGATTCTTGATGGTCTGAGGTTATTTGGACTCAATGTAGGCTAAAAACTCTTCAGATCAAAATCAGTTTCTAAGCAACTACACATCCACCCCTCCCCTAACCAAACAATAACCCTATGTTGATATTAGTTTACTGTTTACAGGTTGGGGGGAAGGGGTGGGTGGAAAGCTACTACAATTTTCACATTGATCCAACTTTTCCACGCATAATAAGTTATGACTGACCCTTGCTTCAACATTATATTGAATAGAAAATAATGACCATAATCAGGGAGTGTTTTCTTGATTTGCACTGTCTCCTAGTCTACTGAATAGCACACAAATTATTAGCTGGCTAAACACACTAAAACACAGGAGATGTGCAAACGCAGTGACGACTAAGTGACATGTTTTCAGGCTAACAGAACCATACCTTCAAAGTGCAAATAAAAAACAAAAGTGCATCAGCATTAAATGCTACACTTGAATCTTACAAATCTGTTTCATTTGAATGAAAAATAAATACTACATCCAAAATACACTCTCAGTCAAAAAGCTGTTAAGGCTTTACACCCTAGCATCAGTATGTATATTCTCCATACTGTTCTCCATACGATTCCTAAGGTGCTGACAAGGAGAATTTATTTAACAATCAGGAGCTTCTGTAGTTGGAGATCATTTCCTAAATTTGGTGACCTTCATGTTTGGGTGGAGTTGTAAGAAGAAATTAAATGCTTGTCACTATTGGGTCAGAGGGTTAACTAACGAAGTGCTTAATTGATTTAATTAATCAGAGAAAAATTTCTCCACATCACTGGCTTGACACAAAGTTCTCAATACCTTCTACGGGGTTATAAAGGACACTTATTATTCATTCATATTGAAACAAGTCCACTCGAAGTTTAAAACACAACTTGCATACAAGTAGTGACTCTTCTGAAAAATTATTTGGAGTGAATTATCATACAAGACATTGCAAAACTACACAGACGGTAGATAAGAAATGAAGGAAACTACCAGCTTTAAAGCTTTCAGTTATTGCCATATTTCTCAAGTGTCATTGATCACCTTTATATGTTGTCGAGAGCAGATAACTAAGCACTTAAATAAAGGTGAAAAAACTTTCTAATAACAATGAAACTGATCATCGCTACCGATGAGCAGATTCTTGACTATAAAGTTTCTTGACCAAACCAGTCTAAACTTAAGTATTACTGTTCTGCTAGCATCAAATAACTAAATGGGGAAAGTTGAGTTCTGAATTTGTACTTTAGATCGGGCTCTGTTAGTCAGAACTTGTGCAATCCCGAGCATAGTGACCGATCTCATTACACCGGTAACATTTCACATCATTTTGAACCTTCTCTGTGCAATCCCGCTTCAAGTGGCCTTGTTTGCCACAGCTGTAACAGACCTGGCTTTCAGATGTACATTCACGAGCAAAATGGCCCTGATTATTACACTTATAGCAAACTGTTGCCGACTGTTCCAAGGAACAGTCGCGAGCAAGATGGCCTGTCTTTCCACATCGGTAGCATTTTGTACCACAGTCGCGTGCAAAATGGCCCTCTTTACCACAATTGTAGCAGCCAGTTTCAGGATCTACCCTTTTACTCTCAGAGGTTGGACAATCTCTGGCAAAGTGACCTGTTTTTCCACAATTGTAACAGTCTTTCCTATTATCTGTATTCTCTGGACAGTCTCTCTGCATATGCCCCTTCTGCCCACAGGCATAGCATTCATCTAAGGATTAAAGAACACATTCAGGAACACTATTAATTGGTTGTTTTCTCAATACCCTCAACACTGTACACTTGCACATTAATACCAGCATATCAATCAAAGTCTGTAACCAGGTCTCAAGCATTGTTACACATTCTGATATTTATGCTTTACGTTGGGCATGCTACCAATTCGGCCCCAAGGTTTAAGCTTGGGAACTTTAAACTACCTCCTAAAAAAAAAAAATTGACAAATAAAAATAGAATGCAGCCTACAATCATCAAATATCCTCCATCAAGGTAACCTTTTAAAGAGTGATATGTATCTTATTTCTCCCTGACATATCAACTGTGAATCAAACACATCAACCCTGAGGGCAGAGGAAATGACTGCAAATCAAGAAGCTCTTGATTGTTAACCTAATTCTCCATATGGAGACCTTGCATACCAATGTAAGAACGTAAAAAGTTTAACAGGCTGGCCCAGTTCAACTTAATCCATTGACACTTACGTGTAACACATGCCTACTAAAAGTCAAAATTTTCGAGAAAACAAATACAATGCCCAGTAAATTTTTAAAAACCATCTTTTCCAAAAAACAGGCTCCAGTGAAAGAAGACTAATTAAAGAACTTATTTGAAATGAAAAAGGCAATAAGTGCTTATTAAGTTACTACTAAAAAATCAAGATGACAGATAAAAATCGCTAAATATTTTCACATGTGTGCAAATGAGCATGCGGATCATCTTTCAAAAGGGAATATGCAAATTTATCCGTGAGTGAGAGATCTCAAGTTCCATGGAATCTATCAATAGGAAGCAAGACTAAAATGGCCAAGAAACATTTTGGGATGACAGATTTATTCAAAACAGTTTTTGATTTACTTTTATAAGTGAAGAACATATGAATTTCTTACATGTACAAAGCCCACGCAGTAAAATTCATCATGCTCAGATCATTGTTTACTTACCTTCATGGCCAGAAAATTGCACAGTGTTATGTTGAAAATTTCTGAAAAAACTTCGATTTGATGCAAAATCTTCTATTAACACATTGAGGCCTGGACTGTCTGTAACCGCCTGAACTGCGTGATTGGCTCGCACGAGAACGCTTTCCCCCTACATCCCCTACTAGGTAGAGTTTTGTCCGCAAACTTCCTCTATGGTTTGGAGATCAATAAACCAATAATAAACTGTCGTTTGTGCATATATTTTGATGGCTTTAGGGGGCACTAGAGGGGCATTATTCTATGCATCTTCACTAAATGATCAAATTTGAAAATATGGCATCCATTGCGTTTGAGTTAGACCATGTGGAACTCAGAATGTAAAGTAGCAATGCTATAGAATACTCTGCTAAGAAAACAATGGATATCAAGGTCTTAAAGGTGACAGAATAAGCTCTTGAGTCAACAACACTACGATTCTCTAAGGCAATGCGAATAATGGACGTAAAGTGGAAACCAAACTTTCGGACTTCAAGGAGGGCCTAGCAACAAGTCAATGATTTGATGGCCCTGTAAATATTATGTTCGAGTAACAATGTCTTCAAAAAGTATTGTTTAATAGAAGATTTTGCGTCAAATTGAAGTTTTTTCAGAATTTTCAACATAACGCTGTGCAATTTTCTGGCCATGAAGGTAAGTAAATGATGAATTTTACCGCGTGGGCTTTGTACAAATACAAAACGTTTGTACATTTTTTGCTTATGACAGCAGATCAAAAACTGTTTTGAAAAAATCTGTCATCTCGAAATATTTCTTGGTCATTTTCGTCTTGCTTCCTATTGATAGATTCCATGGAACTTGAGATCTCTTCACTCACAGACAAATTTGCATATTCCGTTCTGAAAGATGATCCACATGCCCACTTGCACACATGTAAAAATATTTAGCAATTTTTATCCTTCATCTTGATTTTTGAGTTAAAACTTAATATGCACCTATCGCTTTTTTCGTCGGAAAGTTCTTTAATTAGTCTTCTTTCACTGGAGCTTGTTTTTTGGAAAAGATGGTGTTTAAAACATAACATTTACCGGGCCATTGAATCGTCAAATTGTCGCTAGGCCCTCCTTGAAGTCCAAAAGTTCGGTTTTCACTTTACGTCCATAATTCGCATTGCCTTAGAGAATCGTAGTGTCATGGACTCCAGAGCTTATTCTGTCACCTTTAAGACCCTGATATCCATTCTTTTCCAAGCAGAGTATTCTATAGCATTGCTACTTTACATTCTGAGTTCCACAAGGTCTAACTCGATCACAAATGAACGAAAAATTCAACCTGAAAATTTTAAGGGTTGGTCGCATCGACGCCATATTTTTAAATTTAATCATTTAGTGAGGACGCATAGAATAATGCCCATCTAGTACCCCCTAAAGCTACTAAAATATATGTGCAAACGACAGATTCTGATTGGTTTATTGAGCTCTAAAAACCATAGAGGAAGTTTGGGAACAAAACTTTGCTTAGTAGTAGAGGTAGGGGGGGAAAGCACTTTCGCGCAAGCCAATCGTGCGGTTTGGGTGGTTACAGGTGGTTCAGGTGTCAGTGTGTTAAAGGTGGTTTAAATGGAGGCCTTCCATAGTGAGACTACCTTGAATTTCTCTCATGTTACAGTCTGTGATGAATGTGGTAATTTGGTTATATCAACTAAATTGAAATTAAAAAGCTGACCTTTTGAGTGTTAACCCTTCATCAGAGTGAATGGAGGAATTGTGGGTTGTGTTGGTCTTTTATGCAGAAAGTGGAGCTACGCTATTGGTGGGAACATGGTGATGAGAAAAACATGAATAATTCAGTAGAATGAAAAGCATTCATTGATACCTGTGGGGTTAAGAGTGCCGATTAGAAAAATAAACTTTTGTTCAAGAGTTTTGCAGCTTTCCAAGCTACCTACATGTAAGGAAAGGCTGCCATATGAACTCTTTATGGTGGCCAATTTACAATTTCAACTTTGTTGATATAACCGAATTACCTTGTTAGCCCCACCAACACAGCACCACAGTTTCTTTAGAAACTTACCCCCTTTATTCATTTGTGATAAATGTGGTTGATCTATTGTCAAGATCTAATTTTCTTAAACTCATCAATATCTACAATTCTCTAAAAAGAGTAAGAAACCTCAACAACTTCAGCTATCCCGTTGTCACTTTACATTAGCAGTCATATTCTTTGCACTGTTCTCTTTAAAATTCCTTTGGAACTGACAAGGAGAATTTGTTTTACAATCAGGAACTTCTTAAATTGGTGATCATTTCCTTTGATCTCATGACCTTAACTTTTAATTCAAGGGAGACTCTTTGAAGAGAAATTAGAAGACAGACACTCTTATCAGTTAAAAAGCTAACGAAGCTAGCTCATCAACAACCATTCCAAATTTAGAACTTACCATCAAACTTGACAAACCACAACCTAATTAAACCCCTTAATTAACTTCCATGAGTGACCAAGGCAGAATTTCCCCTTACAATATCAATACAATATCAATACAATATCAATACAATATCAAGTAGACAAGTGATGAGAATAAAGACAAATATTAATTAGGGGATTTCAGGTTGATCCAGAGCAAAAATTCTCTAAATTAACATCAAAAGAACCATATGGCAGACAGTAAGGAGAATTGCTAATGAGATCTTGGCAGTGAATGGGTTAAGCTGTCTGCCACTGCTCATAGGTTTCAATGATCTCTTAAATTTTCAATCAAGGTATGAATGATGCTAGCTACTAGCAACTTGCTAACAACTGGTGTTTGATAACACATACCATTCTTTTTGCTGCAGTTTTTGGATATGTGTCCTGTTTCTCCACATGTATAACAACTCCTGTCTAAAAATTAGCAAAAGACAATCTGATGAAAATTTGAAAAAATTAATCATGGGCCTTTAATTTACATACATTTTCCTGGGATTTCATGCCCTTTATATTACATGCATTTGCATGAAGTGACACACAGCATTTTTAAATATAATAGCTTGTCTAAATGCTGCAACTCTCTTTGCAAGTGGGTGAAAAGAAAAAGTTTAACCCATT